AACAATTTTACGTTTTTATCGTAGACAGAGAAACCTATAAACTAATGATTAGCGTGGCCTCGAGTGAGAAAGGACGATAACGTAGATTTAGGTTATACAATAATCTTCATGACTTTTAAACATATTTAGGTAAAATTTTTATTATACTAAGAACTGAACTGAACAAGATTCACCAATCTTAAGCTCACAAAACACCTTTTTCTCACTTAAACCAACTTGTAAACTCCTTAGATCGATACAAACTGTCAAAGTTGTTTAGCAAAGTGTAGTTTGCTAAACAAAAAAAAAACCGGCACGGAGAAAGGGACAAACAATCACACCGTTCTGTCTCATTTCTATGCAAGAGGTATGCATAAATCTATCTTTTTCGTGTGCGAATGCGAAAGAAGGCGTCAATTTGTCTATAGGTTTCTCTGTCTACGGTTTTTATTTTTATAAAAAAGACTTCTAAATAAAAGATTTTACTTTTTTCCACATCGTTTCTGTATAATAGAAATATATAGTAAGATATTGGTTTATTGTTTACCTAATATTTATATTTAAGATAGATGACTCAGACCCCCAGTACCAGAGATCCAGGTGACTAATGGACATGATTGAATAAACATGATCATTTTATTAGACATTGCGATATTTAGAAATTGTTACGGCGTGACTTATATGCTTTAAATTTCTTTTCAGGGAATTAACAAGGCACTAGTAGCCAATACATATTTAACTGGACAGTTTCTGACTATCACAGATATTGCTGCATACCATGTCCTCTATCCCTTAATAGTAAGTTATACTTTGTATTTGAGATAATTTTCTTTTCGGCAATCACAATAATAGATGTCTCACACCTTTGTGACTCTTTTCTCCGTCTTGTTGATCTGGGTATTTTACATCTAGCATACACGAGGATGATATATTGAGTTTTTCCGTCAAGAAATTCTCAGTAGCTGCCCGGAGTCAGGAAGTTGGCGGTCTCACCCCCGTGCCTCGGAAAGCACGTAAAGCCGTTGGTCCTGCGCCTGATCTTTCTTCGGTCATGTCGGTTTACCGTCCCATCGGATTATGAGAATGAGGGAATAGAGTGTGCACCTGTGCTTGCGCATACACTGGCACTATAATCCTGTCCTGCGCCGATGACTAGCCTCCGTTGAGGCAGGCCGCCGTGTCCGAAATTCGGTCTGGGGGACATTATTATTATTATTATTATCTTTGCGGCAATCACAATAATATATGTCTCACACCTTTTTGACTGTTTTCTCCGTCTTGTTAATCTGGGTATTTTGCATCAAGCATATACGGGGATGGTATATCGCTTTCTATCGCCGATATCTGCCCTTTTCCATAGTCAACTATTACGACACCCACGGGACGAGGTGGAAGAAGTTAGAGCACAAGAGACATCCACGCTGCATTTAGGTTTGCCAGATGGGAAAACCAAAATATCTCGACAAATTTTGAAAATTTCGGGATTTTGGAGTTGTTGTCGGGAGAAATAAATATTAAAAATAAAAATATATTTTTTTAATTTTAAATTTTAAAATGTTCTGGAAACTGGTGAGAACTGCCAGGGGACATTCAAAACAGCCTATGATGAATGCTATAAGAGACGAGAATGGCTATATTCTGAATGATGAAGTTTTGAGTTTAAAGAGATGGAAGCAATATTTTGAAAGCGTGTTTATGAGTGAGGAGACAACATGTGTACTAAGTGAAGTAGAAACTCCGAAAGAAGAGGAAAGAGGTAGCGAGATAAGTATAGATGAAATAATGAAAGCAATGAAAAGCATGAAAGCGGGTAAGGCGCCCGGATATGATAGAGTTTCACTCGAAATGCTAAGGGCTGGAGAGGAGGTGGTGGCAGGCCTGCTGCACACCTTGTTTAATTTGTGCTTGGAACTGAAGCGGGTACCGGTAGACTGGTGCAAAGCCGTGATAGTCCCAGTATATAAAGGAAAAGGGTCGCAGCAGGACTGTAAAAACTACCGTGGCATCAGCCTTCTTAGCATTGTGGGAAAACTGTACGCTAAGGTACTGATTGAAAGGGTCATGAAAGAAACTGATGGAAAAATTTGGGATGTGCAAGCGGGATTTAGAAAGGGAATGGGATGTACAGATCAAGTCTTTTCTATGCGCATGATCGTGGAGAAGTTTCTGGCCAAAAACCAAAAGGTTTTTTGTGCGTTCATGGACTTGGAAAAGGCCTATGACAGAGTGGATAGGGATTTACTATGGCAAACACTGAACTCATTTGGGTTGAGCGCTGGCTTGATACAGGCATTGGAGTCTCTTTATAGGGACTCTAGTGCTTGTTTTAGGATCAACGGGGTATACTCGGACTGGTTTGACATCCATAAAGGTGGCAGACAGGGCTGTGTGGCTTCCCCGTGGCTGTTCAACCTATTTATGGACAGTTGTTTGCAAAATTTGAAAGTTGAAGAATGCGGATTAAGAATGGGTGAGTTAACCGTCAAATGCCTTTTGTACGCCGATGATCAAGTCATTCTTGCGTCGTCGGCGGCCGATTTGCAAATGATGGTTAAATTAACGAACGGATCATTAAAAGAAAGGGGTATGAAAGTGAACGCAAGTAAGACGAAGGTTATGGTTTTTGAAAGAGAAGAAAGTAAAACGATTTGTGAAATAAGAATAGAAGGGGGAGTTGATCGAGCAAGTAGATGAGTTTGTATATTTGGGCTGCGTATTTAGCAGGGATGGGAGATATGATAAGGATATAGAACGACGAATGAATGCGGGAAATAGAGTAAATGGTGCCTTGCACTCTATTGTGAAGAGTCAAAATGTGTCGAAAAAGGCACGTATGGCAATTCACAATGCTGTGTTGGTCCCTACTTTAACGTATGGTAGTGAAAGTTGGGTGTGGCAGAAGAAGCACGAGAGTAGAATAAACGCAGTAGAAATTCGGTCGTTAAGGAGTATGTTAGGGCTGAATCTGAATGACAGGGTAAGAAATTGTGTAATAAGAGAAGAGTGTGGTTTGCAAGATGATGTTGTGACCAGGATTAAGAAAGGAATGCTTCGGTGGTTTGGTCATGTGGAAAGAATGAATGAGGAAAGAGTGAAAATTTTTGTTGCAGAAGTGAATGGCAGAGTCCTGAGAATAGGGACGTCCTAGGCGAAAATTTATCGACCAAATTGGCGATTTATTGGAAACGGGCCAAATTAGGAGTACCCTTAACCGACGAGCATGTATGCGTAGGTGTATGGATGTGAAGGAGGCGAGAGAGGTGTGTCAGGATCGTGCCAAATGGAAATCTGTAGTCTCTGCCTACCCCTCTGGGTGACAGGCGTGAGTGTTTATGGTTATGGTATTTTTTTAATAAATAGGCCACAGAGAGTACTAACAAAACTAATTTAAGTAAGTATACTTAATTTTTAGGTTGCCAGAGTCCACCAATTTGCATCCTTTAGTAGCATTCAGAAAAGATTTAGAATTGAAACAATTTACTTCAAAGTTCATTAAATTGTTCAATTATACTGAACTTGAGTAATTCGTAATTACTAAGTCAGCTTTTATTAAATCAAAAACTATGCGTTAACTTTCCGAGATGTTGATTGTCTGGAGATTTTGAGTTTTGTCGGGAGTCTGGAGATCATTTGAAACGTCGGGAGAATCCAGACGAATCTCGAATATCTGGTAACCCTAGCAGCATCACATGGCACACTGAAATGGGGGTAGCAACCATATTAAAATTTAAGACTAAGTATTCCAGTCAGATGCTGCAAAACTTGTGACGATAAAATGAACTCTTCGTAGCTTGTGAGAGATTTATAGTTTAGTTTTAATATAAAAGTGAAGTTAAAGTTACAGCCTATATACGTCCCACTGCTGAGCACAGGCCTCCTCTCACTTCTAAGAAGGTTCTTGGGCAAGTAAGTATGCGCCGCGCTGCCCCTATGCGCGTTGTGGCGGACTTCACGTGTCTTTAAAAAAAATTTTATTTCTCAGACATGCGGATTCGTTACGATTTTATCTTCAATTCATCAAACGTTTTAAGTGCTGATTTATCACGTGCTGCTAAGCACTTCAATTATATTATATAAATCAGCACTTGAAATTGAAATTCCATTGGTGCGGCGCGGCGGGGATCGAAGCCCGGTTGCTCGCGTACTACCACGGGTCACAGTTTAAACAGTCACAGTCACAGTTTAAAGTTTAATGCTGTAATAATGTAATATTAAGACATGTTTTTTTTTCAGGAGCGGTTGAGCGTTACAGAACAGGAATCATTATTGTATGTTTGTAGATGGTCGAAACACATACAAGCTCAACCAAGAGTATGTACAAATCGGCCCCCACTACCACTTCATACTTTAACACTTTCAATTCTGGCTCCAGTTGTACACTGAGCAATCATCTCGTTGTACATCTCGTACTGTAATCTTCATTTTAATTATGATTGACTCGTGAAAAATTGAATAAATGTGTATTGTACATATTGCATTTTCTTTATCAATTTTCTTATCAACAATATGAAACGTAAAAGCATATTGTGCGCACTGTTGTTGCTCAATAATTGTTTGTACTTGCTTCCGTTTTATATTAACTTTTTAAATATTCAGGTGTGTAAGATTTTTTTGTAAACTTATGTTTTTTTTTAATAATGATGTAATGTTAACTGTAAAGAAGTTCTCATTGCAGATTGCAAATGCATTTGTGTTGCCAAAACAAATTTTTCCACACGAGTTGGGTAATATAAGCTTGGAGAAACCTGTTATATATCACCCACAGCCGTTTTCTTATCCAAATTACCCTGTTATTCTGTACCTCTAATTTAGTTTTTTAAGCCTCAAACTGTTTAGCTATTTATTTAACCGAACAGTAAAATTCAAATCGAAATATAATTAAAAAAGTAAAACATAGTACTTAATTATAAAAATATTTTTGTGCTATGGTTTATATTTTATTTCCATACATGTTTATAACCATTTTTAATATGAGTAAGGGATATATAGTTTTTTTTTTTAAATTTAGAAGTATAATTACTTTAGGTTGAATTCTTGCTTTTTGTGATTTCTTTCTTTCGATCAGAGAACCGTAGCATTAAGCAGCGTTCAAGCTTATTTGAATAAGAGCAACCGTCCTCTTCAGTATCTAAAATTAATACAAAAACCATATTTTAAATTACGTAAACTAAACTTTAGTAGCATGAACAGATTCTAAAAAGAATATTAAAAATAAAAGTTTATCCGATAGAACTGTGTTTTTTAAAAAAAATTATTTCTTTAATTAGAATACGTGCTGGAATGATATATATGTCTTCGGCCGATTTTCGGCCACGGTGACTCATCCTAATAACCGAAAGCCGAGGTAAACATGTTGTGAAAACCACGAATTGGTATTCTGCAGATGTATCGAATGAGTGCGAATCCAGGAAGTAAGATCTATGGAATAAATAATAAATATTGAAATATAAGAAATCATTAAGTAGAATCTAATGTTTTAGAAGCCATAAGACAAGTACTCTGATATCCAGGCAACGTCATTATATTGATGATGGAGCAAGGCCAAGGCTTAACAATATTTTTATAGAAACAGAAACAGAAACTTTTTTATTCAACGTAGATTATAAACAATATTTATTAAAAGTCACTTTTTTCATTTACCACTGGTTCGCAAAACAAGCCTCTGTTCTGGGAAGAACCAGTAAGAAACCCAGCGCGACTATTTTTTTCAAATAATAGCTTACAATCATGTTTACTATTAACAACAAGACAAATTAGAAATCCTTGGTAACGATCACCCTTTCCAGGGGTTATTATCATCCATAAATTCCATAATGTTATAATAACCCTTTTTATACAAACTTAATTTAATACAATTTTTGGATTTTGCGTACGACAACTTTGTATATTTTCTGGGATTTTGTTGTAAAAGCGTATACATCGCCACAAGAATGAATTACTGACTCGGTGGAGTCGAGTAACTGGTACTACCAGCTTGTGTCTGCTCCTAGTATTTACAGAATGAATATCACTTATTTTTGCAAAACTACTTTTATTTTTGTGTACGTAAATTTACATTTTCATAAATGTATTGAGAGGCCAGAGTTAATATATTAATTTCCTTAAATTTTTGTCTCAGTGACTCTTTTGGTTTTAAATTATATATTGCTCTAATGACACTCTTCTGTAAAATAAATAGAATTTATGCATCGCGTGCCAAACTACATATATTGCTTGTACTAAAGTAAACATGGCACTCTACTAGACTCTCAGCTAGATTTGATATATGGGGGAGCCATTGAAGCTTTGCGTCTAGTATGTAAGCAAGAAAAATGGTGGTATCAACAATTATATATACCTGAGCCACGTGCGTTCATTGCAAGTATTACCAAGTCGTCACTCTAACTAGTCAAAGGGGGCCCTTACAATTCGTCTACCAGTACGAGGCTGTCACTTGCTGCTTTATATTTAGTTACACAAATTATTCTTTTTAAAATACAACTGTAAGAAATAATGGTGTGAAGTAGAAATGAAAACATCATCTATCTGTAATTAATATATGTTTAAATATTATTGTATAAAAGATGTTTTGAGTGGCTGACTCATCTATAGCCTATACGTAGTAATTTTGAATTTCGACTCAAGGAAGGCAGTCCCACAATATTACTTTGTGGCATATTTGAATTTGACAATATAGATAGTAGATTATGTTAGTACAATCACTATATTTTGTCGTAGGTGAGTCGTGTACGTACGTGTATTACGTACATATTTACGCTATTCATACTATTTATACTACTACTACTACTGCCTCATTGGTTTAGTGGTTGTAGTAGTGTGACTGCTGATCATGAGGTCCTGGGTTCGAATCCCGGGTCGGGCCAAAAAAATCAGTTATTGAGTTTTTCCGTCAAGAAATTCTCAGTAGCTTCCCGGAATCAGGAAGTTGGCGGTGTCTCACCCCCGTGCATCGGAAAGCACGTTAAGCCGTTGATTCCTGCGCCTGATCTCTCTCCGGTCGTGTCGGTTTACCGTCCCATCGGATTATGATTTATGAGAGTGAGGGAATAGAGAGTGCACCTGTGCTTGCGCATACACTTTGGTACTATAATCCTGTCCTGCGCCGATGGCTAGCCTCCGTTGAGGCAGACCACCGTGACCGAAATTCGGTCTGGAGGACATTATTATTACGTACATATTATATTTACCCGCTTGTCCCATATTCCTTCTCTTTCCGTGTTATTACGAGAAAAAACTGGGGTGACGACAATAATAAAATACAGCGTATTCCATGTTGTGGCGGTATAAGTAAGTACCGTCACTACATGGAATACACTGTATTAGGTAAGTATTATTATAGTAAGTAAGCATACCAATACCCCACATCATCTCGTGGGTGTCGTAAGAGGCGATAGAGTAAAACAAATAAGGAGATGAGCAGGAATTAAACGATTCAGATCAGAAAAAATAACGATTAAAAAAAACTGCGGTTGCCAACCCGATTGCCAAGCATGGAAACTATATCGAATATCCCCCCCCCTCCCCCTATGAGGTAATCTATGTGGGAAGCCTATGTTCAGCAGTGGACTTGGCAGGCTGTAACGGTAACGTAAAGAAAGTTAAAAAGTTAATTTATATATCTACCAGATTGTAGTTCTTGAAAACATGCTCTAATTTGATCTTGTATTAAAGTGCGGGACCGTTGCGATGTCACGGAGGTTTGAACTTTATTCCAAAAGTCAGCTTCCCGCGGAATGCCCCGTGAATCAACCTGTATAAAGATGACACGACGAAATAATATGGTGTTTATTTTTTAAATAAATATTATGCAAAAACTTACCACATGCAAATTACTGAACACACACTGGCTGAGACACTGGAAAAATAATATGTACAACGCTTAGGAAAAACATTAACACATAGATATGCGATGAGTTTGCAATATTATGTAGCCGTTGTAACTTCGGGTTTTTACACAATTAGAATAAACTGCGTCGTTGATATATCTCTATAAGTAAGGTGGGTGGACCATGGAAGGCCACGCTCCTTCGAAGGCCAGTTATTAAAATGTCGTAGTTATTGCCATGTGATGACAAATTCCTTCCACTTACGGCGCCTCTACACGTTGGCCAACACAGTGGCGAATGTAGTGGCCAATAGCATTGGCCAAAGTGTAGACGGGGTGTTTGGGCTTCATTGGTATGTATTGGAACGATGGCCCGCAAGTTGGCGCGAGATCCGTGTGGTGTCGGTTTTTTACAAAAGATCAAAGGATTGTTGGCAGAGTTTGGTCGCCGCGTCCACACGTTGGCGGCGAGTTTAGTTTGCAACAAGCTCCCAGAGTGATTACACGCATCTGATTAAAGTTTTATATTCACGCTTTGTAGGGTGGATGACCCAATTACCAGCCTTTTAGTGCCAATTTCAACTTTAAACATTCCTACTACTTTAATTAGTGCGATTTAATTATTTTTAAACATTTGTTTTAATCGGTAAGCTATTTATAAAAAAAAACAATGAACATTTATTTACAATCAGATTATTACGAGAACAATTTTAAAATGAAAAAAGAATGAAGTACGTCGTTTATACGTGGTAGAACCATGCAGTTATATTAGAAGTATAGTTGTAGCACGAATGGGTCGGTTCGACCGGGGAAGGACCACGCTCTCACAGAATATCAATGTAAAATAGTAGCTTAATGATGCTGTGTTTCGTATAGTTAGTGTAGAGAACCAGAGACACTTTTTAAAGGAAACGAGGCATTTCATCTTAGTCCTCACGAGTGACAACGCATCTGCATTTTGATTCGTAATCGAGGATAGATGTAGATGTCTGTGGGCCATAGCAACCACTTACCATCAGGTGAACTGTGTGCTCGTTTGTCACCCTATCCCATATAAAAAAGCGTCGATTTCTTATAAAATAATCGTGCAAGTTTTTGAATCATCATCATCATTACAGCTCTTCACAAGTCCACTACTGAACATCCTCCTCCAAAGAATGCCGCAAAGCATGGTCCTGAGCCACTTTCCTTGTCATGAGTTTTTCATTTATGTTTTAAGTTATAATTAGTACCTATTATTAAGTCAGTGTTAATTATATTTATTGCTATTGTTTTTGTCTCTCTCAAAAAATAATTAAATTACCAAATAAATTATAAGGTGTTTTTTATATACATCAAATGTCTGATAGAAAAGCAAGTACATGTTTTGCTAAACTTTAAAAACAAAACCCAATTTTAAAACATAGAATAATCGATTATAGGTAACTCCTTTAACTTTAAAATAAGTTAAGTTCTTATTAATGGCATTTATTTCAGTTTATGATGCATGTAAAGAATAAATAAAGCTAATCGTATATCGTATATCTATTTACAGCCCCATTAATATCCACTATTATTTTATAATTCTTTTATAAAAACGTTAACCCCACACTAGGATTTTCTCCCGTATCGCGGAGGCAGTTTACAAACATAAATTGCACAAGGACACACATCCAGACCCGAAATAATTATTTGTAGGACATACAAATACTTGTTCCGTGCGGGATCAAACCCGCGGCTCCCTGGGCAGCCATTCATTGCTGAGCCACTGCGCCAGGGTGCTTATAAATTCGTCCGCACATTGGCCCGAACCGAAGTAAACTGAACGACCTTCCAACGTGTGGACGCCGTCACCAACTCTCAGCCAATATATTAGCCACTCCATTCGCCACTGTGTTGGCCAACGTGTAGAGGCGCAAACATCCATCGAACTGAAAATCACAGACGCTGCGGCGAATAGTTCGCGCTACTATTTTGGCAGTACGGTCCCTCGCTTTATTGATTACGGGAATCGACGTACCATGGAAGGCCACTCTAACAAATAAACAGTTATTATTCGTTTATTTACTGGATAAATGAAACTAACAAATATTTAAGTAATACTTTGTTTCATTAAATTCAAAATTCAATATATAAATATAAAAAATATAGTATAATATAAAAAATACCATATAAAAATTAATTGTTATCCGTTAGTTTCATTAAAACTCGAAAACGGGTCGAAAGATTTTGACGAAATTTTGTGTGTGCATTTCACCGGGCTCCTGGATGGTTTAGATTCACAATTGGACCTGGTAAGTGGCGCTGGTGTTGAGATCCAAAAATCACCCGAACGAAGCCGCGGCAAATCGCTAGTGAATAATATAATAAAGCAAAAATTAAATTACATTCATCATTTATCATCATTACAGCCCTTTACAAATCCACTGCTGAACATAGGCGTCCCCCAAGTAATGCCACAAAGCACGGTCCTGAGCCACCTGCATCCATCGACTTCCTGCATGTCTTACCAGGTCGTCACTCCATCTAGTGGGGGGTCACCCTACACTTCGCCTACCGGTACGAGGCTGCCACTAGAGAGCCTTTTTTGCCCAACTCTCCCTCAACTTCGAGCTATATGGCCGGACCATTGCCACTTCAGCTTACTAATCCGTTGGGCTATGTCGGTCACTCTGGTTCTACTGCGGATACCCTCATTTCTAAGTTTATCACGTAGAGAAACCCCGAACAATTATATTACGTTATAGAATTTTCTTATTGATATTGATATTGACCAATCAGATCATTGGATCACACTCACGGTCCTGATGCATTTTGCCTGTATGTATTTTTCATTAGGTCGTCACACTTACCATCGTTACTTAGAGTTAGAGGCTACATAGGTAGTCGTGAGGACTCGCGATACAAATGCACAGTACACATGTACAGTCAATGATTTCAAAAGGGAGGATAGGCCCATCTAAATATTTTACTCATAACTTTTTCATACAAGAAAAAGTAGCGCATCTGTCATAATACAAACGTCATATCAAAACACGACATAACCAAGGTCAGATTTCGTAGTAGTTTCGGTCGGATATAATTATCCTAATTGTATCATTATTTCATAGTTTGTAGTATATAGTATCGTAATAATACAAAGCGAAAATACCAATAATTTTACCTAAGGGTCGACTTGTATTATAATTGGGTCTTTTTAAATTTTAATATTAACCCTTCGATATCGAGAATTTTTGTATTGTACATTGTACCGCTTTTTTTTAAATAAAATTAGAATTAGCTGACTTTCTGGTCAATCGATGCTCGATCAATGCATTTATGTTGCATTCTTGATACAACTTTAATGAGGGGCTACCAAGATAAAAACTCTATGCTCCAGAAACAATCGGTATGAAAACAGAATTTCAAAATATTTTATGAATCTGATTTTCAGATTAAATTAAGTAGATATGGTTTCTTTTGTACTCTTTTCGTTTTACCCTAATTGAATATTACCAATTATATACCAATATTCAACATTTAACTTACACTAAGTTCTATAGACAATAATTAAACAGAAATAAAAATAAAACCGTCAAAAAATTAAACGTATATAAAAATTAGACGCGTTACGTCAAAATCCCGGCACATGGGAAAAAAGAAACATGAAACGTCAAACGTGATATAATTTTTTTAAAATAGTATAATTTTAATTTCCATGTACAATATTTTTGAGGGTCTGAATCCAGCTCTGGCCTAATCTTGGTAACGTAACTAAACTAACTGTAAAATAAAACTTTAAAAATGCGTTTATATAATAATTTAATGTAACAAAATTAATATAAGGTTATTTACCGATGATACGATATCCCATGATATTTTAAAATATTTGTTTCGTAATTTTTGCATTCTTTTACCACGCAACTAGACATATTTATGACAGGCAAATCTGTCCTGCGCGCGCACTACTGTCGACCGATGCGCGTTGGCCCTAAACTGTAATTTTAGGGCCAGCGCACTGGTCCATTTTAGTTGTTCGGTCGGCCCGGTCCTTACGCTAGTAATATATAAGTCAATGTGTACAGTAGGCTGCTACTCGAGAGCCGTATCACAGGTATTTCGATTGTAGGAAAGCATTTGGCAAAATCTATTGATCTATCCTAATGAGTCATTCTGTTTTATGCGCATAGGTACATATTCATTACGACTTAGGGCTAAGTGTTCTCAATAACTACTGTTGTGCCTATATACATAATTAAAGTATTTGTATATAAATCTAATATTATATAAACAAAAAGTTTTTTTCTAGACATTTCGCCAATTCTATTGCACGAGGCATTTGCCTCAATTTTTTTCTGATTTTGCGTCAGATCACATAGCAGACACTTGCATTTCCAAAAGTCTTGCACCTCATTTGACTTACCTCATCTGTTCTGGATTTGTCCAAAAGTTGTTCATTTCTTTTAGTTCTATTTAAAGAAGAATTGTTTATTTTGTTTGTTGTGGTTATATACGACCCAGATTTTTGGAGCAAAACTCCGCGGCGCTACGCCAGCGCGTTTGGCGGACCTCAGATTTTATTTTTATTTTTTTATATAACGGAAGTGATAACTAAAGGTAGGCACTTAAGTGACTACTAAATGCGAGTGGCATTTCCAAAAGTCTTGCACCTCATTTGACTTACCTCATCTGTTCTGGATTTCTCTAAAAGATGTTCATTTCTTTTAGTCCTATTTAAAGAAGAATTGTTCGTATTCGTGCTGTTAACAGAATTGTCGTAACTTTGACTTGAACTGTTAAAATTCTCATTAGCGGATTGGTTTTCATAACCAATGAAATCAATGCTGGTAATATTAATAATTTGTTTCTGTTCAATCATGTCACTTGTATTACGCCTCTGGTGGTCATATGGATTTGTGAACTTCGTGTTGCTATCAATGCGTCGGAATTCATCATCACATGTAGCCTTATTTGAACGGCGACTACGATGGTTGGTATTACTAGTGTTTTGTACACTATCGTTAGGCGTACAAGCTCTAATCGCAGCTGCTATTTCTTCCTCTAACAAATGAATGTTCCCTTCGCTAGCACATGATATTAATGTTGGTATAATCAAAAAGAGTATTGCTCCGAACATGCTGCCCAGCGCGAAGTAGTACGAGAAACTGTATTAGTACCATATAAACGAGATTGCACAGGAAATAAAGGTCATTATATGCGACAGTTGAGTGACGTATTTGGTTTAGTTTCTATAGGTATCTGTACCATTGTTATGATACTGACAGTAACTGGAATCTAATTTCATTATGTGTTTATGAGATATTTCGCCGTATAACTTGTGTGAGGAAATTGGCGACAACCGTGATACTTTTCCTCTTCTAACTAGGTGGGCCTATGTATGAAGTTTCTCTGCGTGCTAGAATGTATAATGAATACTGAACAGAAGTTTATGTTCTATAGTAACGAATATATTTATTATAAGCATAATTACCAGGGTAACGAACATATAGCCCTCAGTACCGTCTTTACCATATGGGCGTGATAAAATCCGATATATTGTTTTATATAATATTTTATCATTATCTAGAGTATTATACTAATACCAATGATTTCCTAAGGAAGGATATATATCTAAATATTTTACTCATAACTTTTTCATACAAGAAAAAGTAGCGCATTTGTCATAATACAAACTTCATATCATAACACGACGTAACCAGGGTCGGATTTCGTGTTATAATTATTATCCTAATTGTACCATTATTTCATAGTTTATAGTATGTAGTATCGTAATAATTGATCACGCGCAGAACGCGTGGTAGTTAGGATGCAGTTTTTAAATAAAAATCTTTGTCTTCATAATATATAAATTATAATATCGTACTTGGATAATCAAATTAAATGAAGTGATACAATTTAAGGGAAAAACGCTATATATACATTTACAGAAAAACATTCTCTTGTTTCTCCAATATTTGTGACATCTGTCTTTTTTATTCTTTACAATTATTTAAAAAATTAAAATAAAAACAAAACATATAAAAACTCCACGGACATACTCATCCACCCTGGAAGCTTCAGCTTTCAGTCTTCGTATTGGGGATCCAGTAGAGGACACAGGTATTTAATACCACGTTTGAGGACTCCGGTGGACGTCAGAACGTCTGCCACACGGTGTATTCCATCTGGTCCGGGGTAAAACTGTAGGATACGTCCGAGTTTCCACTGTAGTGGAGGAGCGTTGTCATCTTTGAGTAAAACCAATTCTCCAATCCGTAATTCTCGAGCTGGTACTCGCCATTTATGTCGCTGTTGCAATTCAGATATATAATCCAGCTTCCATTTATTCCAAAAATGCTGACGGTATTTTTCTAGTTGTTTAAATCTGTTAAGCCGGTTGAAACGCGTTGAAGTATGATTAGGTGATGGTATCGTATCTAGAGCACGTCCGATGAGAAAATGACCGGGAGTGAGTGGATGGAAATCATTAGGAGAGGACGACATAGGATATAGAGGGCGACTGTTCAGGATGGATTCAACTTGACTTAATAAAGTTGCCAGTTCTTCAAAAGTTAAATGTGTAGAACCAAGGGTTCGTTTAATATGAAATTTTGCGGATTTTACGCCCGCCTCCCATAGACCGCCAAAGTGCGTCGCATAAGCCGGGGAGAAATCCTGGAATTATATGCCTTCGTTTAAAGCAAAATCGGAAATGGAACGCGAGTTCGTGTTTAAAAAATTGCTTAGTTCTTTTGAGGCTGCCACAAAATTCGTGCCGTTGTCACAATAGATATCTGACGGCTTTTCTCAAAAGTCCTGGATCATAGCTACATACCGTTGTGAAGTAACAGTAAGCGCGCGGCCTCTGCCGTCCTCAAAAAAGTAAGGGCCTATAATGCCATGCGCTGACATAGCCGCTCAAACTGTCACTTTAGGGCTATGTAAGGGCTTTTGATGTTTGCGATTTGGATTTTCGCAACTCCAGTAGCGACAATTTTGCTTATTGACATGGCCGTTGATGTGAAAGTGAGCCTCATCAGAGAATAACACGTTATTAAACGAAGTAAAGCGGTTCAACATTTCATTTGCGAAATTTAGTCTGTGGATAGTGTCAGTATCTTTTAATTCCTGTACTATCTGAATTTTGTATGGGTGAAGATGTAAATCTTTCTTTAAAATTCGCTGTAACGATGTTCTGGGTAAGTTTAATGCACTGGAACGCTTACAAGTAGACTGGGTAGGATTTTCACGAATTGAGTGTTTCACTACATCGATGTTTTCTTCCGTCCGTGATGTCCTTGATCGACCTGACAGTTGTTTATCCAACGTCGAACCACTCTCTTCGAACTTAATAACCCAGTTCTTAATCGTTTGAACACTTGGAATGTCTTTAAAGTTGCGTAAATTCTGATATTCTCGAAATTTACGCCGCGCAATGGTAGCCGAATCATTGTTTCGATAAAACTCGCGCACACAAAATGCACGGACCGCACCGGTGAAACGCTCCATGGCGACTGAATTCCCAGAAACCGTCGGTACTCCCCCCGCATCGCGCGCGCCACTCATGCGCGCCTTTTGTATTTTATTCTAAATTTACATTTCTAACGAATTATGGGCCACCTTGTATTAACCCTACGATATCGAGAATTTCTGTATTTTACATGAGTACCGCGTTTTTTAATAAAATTAGAAATAGCTCCCTTTCTGGTAAATCGGTGCTCGATCGATGCATTTATGTTGCAACCTTGATACAACTATAATGATCTATGGTATCGGTTCGATAAGATATACTCTAAGCAATCGGTTTGAAAACAGAATTTCAAAATATTTTATGAATCTGATTTTCAGATTCAATTAAGCAGATATGGTTTCTTTTGCACTCTTTTCATTTTACCCTTATTGAATATAAAATATATTAGATACCAATATTCAAAATTTAACTTACATTAAGTTCTTTAGACAAAAATTAAACAGAAATAAAAATAAAACCGGCGAAAAACGAAAAATATAGTAAACTAAACTCGTGATGCCAAAATCCTGACATATGGGAAAAAAGAAATATGAAACCTCAAACGTGATATAATTTTCGAAAAATAGTATACCTAATATTATTTTCCATGTACAATATTTCACGGGGTCACCACTGTGGCCGTGGAAGGAAAAGGGGAGATCTCCCGCCAGGCAAGGTGTTCTGCCCGTGGAGCGGCCAACGCTCCGTGTGATAGTTCGGAGATGTTCTATATATACTGTTTATGATTCGGAATGTTGATAGCGTGATTTAGGCTTCGGTGTATTTCGTTTGTGGCGCGACGATAGCGCCGCCACAAGGGTATGAATCTAATCCTGGCCTAGTCTTGGTAACGTAACTGAGCTAACTATGAAATAAAACTTTAAAAATACGTTTATATAATAATTTAATATTAACAAAACGAATTTATGGTTATTTTACCGATGATACGATATTCCATGTACCTTTTTAATCTTTGTATCGTAATTTTTGCACCCTTTTACCACGCAACTAGACATATTTATGACATGCAAATCTGTCCTGCGAGCGCACCACTGTCAACCGAGTCGCGTTGGCCCTAAACTGTAATTTTAGGGCCAGCGCACTGGTCCGATTTGGTTGTTCGGTCGGCCCGGTCCTTACGCTAGTAATATATAAGTCAATGACTAATACATAACACACTGTGTCAGTGGTTTGATTTTTAATTTTTTACACTTTATAACTCTTTCTTTTATTTTTCTACTTTTAGTTATATTTATGGTTTGGTTTATTCATTTCCAATCTAATTAATATAAAATATAACTAATGATACGGAAAGAAACATTAAATATTACATTTTCTTAAGAAATTATCGTCACCGCTATGAAATCTGTCAAATATTTTACCTCATTTAAAGTAGCACCGCCCAGGTGGCAGAAAAAGTCGTGGAGCCCTCATTAATGACATATTATTTGATTTTTACCAATTAACTATAATAAATATAAGATCGTAGCAGAAAAATGTTTTTGTCATTCCCTTTTTTTTACTTTCCAACTGGGCCCCAAATTCTTGTGTGCCCAAGGGCCCCGGTATGGTCTAACGCGGCGTTGATAGCCTTGAGTGGTCATATGTGCAGTTGAAATTACAGCTAACAATGAAGATATATTTTTGAGAAGTATGTGGACCTTGAAGTGCGCGTGGTTTATGAATAAAAATCTTTGTCTATAAGCTTCCTAGGTGGTATGACTCCATTTCTGCCTGAGAATTTGTCTGGATTGATACTATGTATATCTATCTGATGCCAAGCAACAGTACGTGTAATGTTCTGTTCCAGTCTTAAGGGTATACAACCGTCACCAGCAGACAACAGGTATCTTTGTTTTGTTTTACGTGGCGAAACGAAATGCCTACGCATAGCCGCCTCGCGGGAAAAGGTTGGGTATGGGCCGAATATGGATTTCACCGAATACGAATATTCGGCCGAACGTTCGGTAAAATTTTTACCGAACCGAATATTCGGCCGAACATTATTCGGCAGGATTACCGAGGTACCTAACCAATTTATATCGAAACTTGTTACCGTAAAGCTCGCGGAATTAGCGTCAGAGCCTTCCCCTTGCTCCCCCGCCACACCTCGCATGTTATTGCATCATCTAGTACTGAGCAAATTGTCGGCACATGTTTATGTTTTGACTATTTTTGTGAGAAGTATTCTTAGTGAAAATTGATAAATATATAATGAAAATGAGTAGCAGGAAATCTACTATTTGGACCAATTTTAGAGAAACTGACGACTGTAATGTAATGTTTCTTTGTTTGATTCGAAACAAAATTTTATCCAGCTTTTTATTTGCTATAATTGAAAATAAATCTACAGTGCCTCAAAAACATATCGTTATACAAGCAGATTTAACCATAAATAAATATACTTTCAACAGTAAAATGATGAAAGACATGGCATTACTCAATTCGTACATTTCCATACAGTGGATACTTTGAGTACCACTTTAACGAATATTCGGTGGTTTAGCCGAATATTCAGCCGAATACGAATATACGGTAAACCTGCCGAATATGCTGAATACCGGCCCATCTCTAGAAAAGGTCGGGTTATGTTGAACTTGCACCGACTAAAACCCCATGGTGTTCCT